AAAAAAAACGCGACATGACACAGCATGAAAGAGCATCGGTTTAAGCTAAACAAGTGGACTAAACGATGCGTTGCGATCAAGTTGTATTTTCCCATCGAGTGTGCAACGTACCCCCCCTCTCCCCTCCTACTTACAAGCTTTACTCTATGTGCACATAATTTTCATTTGGGGATTTTCTTCCATTTTCCTTTCCACACAGCGTAAGTTTTTAACGAAGCATTTATTAACTCCACCGCTGTCTCATTTCCCGTTTATGTGGCGATCAGATCACGTTGCCCAGACGGCTTGATTGCTTTCGTGGAAGGTGTACATGTATTTATGCGCCCTTTCTGCGTACGTCTGTGTGTCTGTTTATGTTAACATGTATGATTATGCTTACGTGTATGATTATGCTTATGTGTATGATTATGCTTATTTGTATGATTATGCTTACGTGTGCGATTATGTTCACGTTCATGTTGATTGGGGTGTGCCCTTTTTCATGTCCCTATAAATGCCCCGGCGAAAGTTCACATTTTGCAAAGGTTCACTTTGTGCAGTTTGCCCAGGTAAGGGGAAAAAATGAAGGCGTAAAAAATGTGCAGGAAAAAAAACGATGGTGAAGAGTTCACATGTGTAACATTTGCATGAAGACAGACAACCTCATGTGGTTTTGTAAAGCGCATATATTTTTTAACGTGTGTACTTTTTTTTTAAGGTGTATATGTTTTTTGTTTCTTCTTTTGTTAACGCGTAGCCGTTTTTTCACGACAAAGCTGTTTCACGTCAGCTTCACTCGCACACTGTCCATTTCGCGGACAGGACGCATACGAATGTGCACAGCCGAGTGAATGCACGTGCTGCCCCCGCGAGGACGTTCGTTTATGTACTCGCGCAGATACGCATATAGCCCCCCGCGCGCACCTTCACGTGCACTTTCATAATACGTACGTCCCCCATGCGCGTACCCGATGCTGCTACATTGAAGTTTCCCTTTGCGACTATTTATAGATTTATTAAAAGCAAAATGTGTCCACCTCTTCCATCGTTATATTTCCCGACTTGATCATTTTTCTTTTCTTTCCTTTTCTTTCCTTTTCTTTTCTTTTCTTT